AAACAAATCCACAAACAAATAACCTGGCTCTGATACCACTTTGTTGGGAAGAAACTAAGTTTATCCACAAACTATTTCTCTCCCAAAAATAAAAACTTGTAGATATTCAGCTATCACAATTCAAAACAAGATATCAACAAAAACAATCATAAGCCAAGCAAAGAGAGACACACACGATATTTAACGTGTAAAACCCCTCCAATGTGAAGGGTAAAAACCACGGGGCCAAGGAGACCCAACCAAAAATCTCCACTAATAACTTGAAGTAACAATTACAGCAACTCAAACACCACAATATGCTCACAAACTTAGAGCAAATACAGATTCTCAAACATACAAACGAGAATACCAAAAGCGGTGAAAATAACAGTCAGAAAAACTCACAAACGCGGCTACTGTTCAGGCCACAACATGGAGACCTTCACTATTCCAAATCAAATCTCCACCGTTCCAATCGTAGGTCTGTGAGTTTCGAACAATCCCACCAAATTTCAGACAAATCGAACCACAAATGACCCTTGATCAGAATAATGGATGAAGACTGCCGCGAAATGTTTTCTTTTCCCGAACAACTACGAGTTGCTTCTGTTCGACCTCAAATAATTGGAAATTCAGAGCTCCGATAAAAGATCCAACCATTCAGAATGAAGAAAAATGAGTTATCCACTTACTTTCCAAATTTCTGCTCGATCGGACGGTGGATCGGAAAGTTCTGGCCGTTTGATGAACTCTGCGCACTGAAAAATCTGCACAGTATTTTGATTTCTCTCTTTTCCTCTCTCTTCAACACGCCGCGCGCAAAAAAGATCTAACCCTAGTTTTTGTTTTTCTTTTTTTTTGAAAAAAAAAAACAGTTGGCTGAAGGAGAGTGGGCTATAATATCGGTCAATATCCCATAATGGGCTGGGCCCAACACGAACATGATTGGTTGGTGGTGCAACTCCCATGCAATGGAGACGGATGTAAGAGAATACCTCTTAGCACACATAGCCAATATCTTAAGGCTGCATTTGGAATCAGTGTAAAAAATACACCGTTAACATTTTACATGAACTGTGAAAGTGACCGTTGATTTTTGAAAAACGCGATGGGTGGAAGAGTGTAAAGTTTTACGTCAATAAAATCGATGTAGTTTTTACATAGATTATCGATGTAAAATTCCACTCCATCCAAACACAAGCAAAATTGAACCGAAGTAGAGTTTTACGTTGATCATAATTACACCCTCTTTCCAAACGCCTACAAAACCGAACAGATGCAAATTTTACATCGGTTCTTGATTTACATTACATCCAAATGCAGCCTAAAAGTCATTTGAGATGTAAGGAACGATGCAATTTTTAGGGGCAAAACCCCAAACCCCATCCATGCTCTACGAGGAGTAGGCTCAAACTCAGAAATTACATCTTTTGAATGCCTTAACTGTCACCGGTTTGGATCTCCTACCCACAAAAGAACCTACTTACACCTACCTATGTGTTACTACAGCCGTACATTGAAAACATCTTCCCTATTTACATGTTACTATTCATGGGAGATGTTCCCAATGTACAACTACAGTGCCATGTGGGTAGAAGTGGCAGGATATCGGAATTGAGCTGCCACCTATTGTATCCACATGTAAAATATTAAAAGGAAAGTTAAAAACAAAGAAATAGTAGGTCGTGCAGGGAGTAGGGGTGAGCACTATACGGTTAAAACCAAAAAATCGAATCGAAAATTTTAGTTTCGGTTTTTTGATTAATTCAGTTTTTGGTTTCGGTTTTTAGAATTAAAAATTTGGTTAATCAAATTAATTAAACTTTCTATTATTATATATAAGATATAATATATAATATGTTATATATTTATATATAATAAAATGAAATTTAATTTCATAATATATATTTTATAATATATAATAGAATATATATTATTAAAATTCGATTTTAACCAAAACAACTAAAAGCTGAACAGAAATTTTTATTTTGGTTATTTCGATTTTTCTATAATTTGGTTTCGATTTCATTTTTTTTAATTAGGTTTTAAAATCTTGATTTATTCAATTAGATTTTTAACAGAATAAAGAATGCTCACCCCTAGCAGGGAGCAGGCGTTCAAATTTGTCGAAAACCTTTTCTTAAAAAAAAATGTCCAAAGCATTTTCTTCTCTTTTATTCCTCCTTTTGGCACCGAGGCATTTTCGTCCCTCCACATGGCAAGGATAATGTAGGCCATGCAGGCAGCTCTTCCAACTGGAAAAACACTAGGAAGGTTTCTTTTCCAGGTTCAAACCACTGTTGCTACCACAATTGTAGCGCAGGGCTAAACAACTGAAACACAAGATTCGACCTGGAGAAAACCTGAACGACTATCACCTTCCTATTAAACCATTGGAAGCTAACAAATGGGCTACCTCTTAATGTGCCAGAGTCAGGATTATAATTTACAACCCCCCTACTGACACCAACTTATCTTGATTGATTTGTGAATAATCCTGACTTTCTTCAGGACTTCAGACGCTACATGGTCCTAGAGGAAAGGCGTATCTTATCCTTTGAATCGAATGGTGAACCACTGATCCACCAAAGCGGTTCTGGTTCTGAATCGATATTTAAAACATTGGTTCAGAATCTTCATATAGTTTGAGCATCTTCTTCAAATTTTCTATAAAAGTGGCCGGTGGTCCCTCATTTTCGTTCTTCCATTCCTTTGAAATATAACAATCTCGCTTCACAATTCTGATTTTTTTTGTTCTTTTCCTTTTTTCTGCAGTATTGGCTCATCCTCCAACTATGAAGCTACCCTTCTGTGGCAATCTGTTTCCATGTTTACCTACCGCTGCTTGAAGGAATTCATAGTTGAATCTGCATGTGCAGTAAATGTTTTCGTTCTGAGCTTCCTTCTCTACTACTTTGATTATTACACTTGCAATTACCTTCTACTTGTTTTGCAGCTATCTGAAGATCCTGACCGTAAACCAGAGACTGAAGAAGACTACACAAAGGCGGAATTCTAGAAGGTGATGGTGGCGAATTCATGGTTCAATGCTGGAGCGAGGTTGGAGTTGAGATAGCCTTGGAATAATAGTTCTGCTGGTTCGGGCAGCGGACGTATGAAGCACCCACCTGAATCTTTAAAGGTGGTCATGTAACGAGAATTCCTTGTATGTCACCTATTGCATTACATTAACTCCCTCCAAATCCAAATGCTGCTCACTCACTGGTTTCCCTGAGAGGCTGAGATGTATCCAATTACGCTATTTTCTTTTTTCTTTTTACTGATTAGAGATTTAGGTCATGTAGCTGATTGTCATTGCTTTATCTTCTTTCTGAAATTTACTGCTCATTCAACATATTTAGTAATGCTTAAGCTCTGTTTAATGAAAAGAAATTTACATTTCCCTGACGGCTGATGAAAATCCCCGGTGTATGTGTTCACAAATTTATTACCCCTGATGTTCTTGTGAATGGAGCCTGACAGTTTTGTTTTCTACTTGGCTTGTGTCTGTCAACAGGTCTCAGTTTTCTGAATTATCTAAAAATTAGTTTAGCTTACTTCATTGTAGCACACAGACCATGCCTCATGTGAAGCTCCTCCAAGTAGCCATTGTAACTGGTCGTGCCTAAGTGGAAACTATGAAGAAAGATGAACATATGGAATGGAAATTACCTTTACTTAAATCCAAGAATTAGAAGTATGCTTTCTTAGTAAGAAATGGAACCTCAGTTCCAGTTTCTGTTAGTGAGAAGGATAGCAGTTATGATTGGCTCCAATCAGCTCAAGGGCCATAGGGAGATCATTCAAGACATTGATCAATGGAATCTAGGGACTAGGAAACATGATCCTTTGACTTCTTAAAATACTAGTAAGGGGAATGAGGATTGGGGCGGGCTACTCAACTAGCCGGCGGTGCAAGAGGCACTGGCTCCGGAACCACCTCTGCTCCCGAATACCCATTATTGACGTGGTGAAGCTTGTTGTCAAATCCCCACACTCTAGCAGCTTTTACATCGTCCTGGGCCATTAATCTTGAGAACTCCTCATGGTCATATTGCAGCTTAGCTTTCCCCCCGAATTCTGTTGGAAGGTTCTCCACATCAAAATACGAACTCATGAGCTCCACGCTGTCTTTGTTCTTGGGATAGACAAATTTCACCTTCTGGAATGTTTTAGGATCCAAGAAGTACTTGACAACCTGCACAGATATAAGTGAGAACTCGATGATTACACACAGTGGTGAGAAGAAAAGTGGCCCAATTTCTCCCAAAAATAAAAAGATGACAAAAAAAAAAGAATAAACAGAGAAGCTCGGATTATTGCAGTTTAAGAAGCATGCAATTAGGTTCGTTAGAAAGTAAAACCTGTTGGGCTTCCAACATTAACACTTAGCATTCCATCTAGTAAAAAGAGGTTCCATAATATAAAATGTGGAAGTATCCATACCCTGAAGATAGAACTAGCAATTTACAAACAAATGGACATGCACTGTAAGGTTTCAGTCTAAGAAGAAATGGGTACCAGACACAAATGTCATTATGCAGTTGTTATTTGGTAAAACATCAGAAAGGATTCTGGTAATTTCTCATCAGTGAACTTTTGGGAGAGCAAGACAATAATCCGAACATTGAATAAGAAAGGCTGATCTGATTGAGTCAACAGGACTTTGCTAACACTTGAAATGGTATCATCAATATTGTACATAAGGTAGTGCAAGTACAAGTCCACAGCCACAGGTTTAATAATATGGAAACAATACAAGGTGTGCAAAATGAAAAAATGAACCCTTTCTGGACAGATAAGAGTTCAAGAAAACATTCTATGTGTAAATCTATATCAGTTGATCCCCGAGGAAGTAATCAAGCTGATAATTTTGTACAAGAGACTGCCTAGATGTAATACTGACCATATAAATTCAGGTTGAATGGAGTATATACCATATTTCCAATATCTGCTAGGTAAGAGGCTTTAGGATGCATCTGTATACAACCAAGAAACCAAGATCTAATGCTGTAAAAAGGGCAGATTGGGATTGGATACGTGTAACTCCAAATTTGTTTCAGTTACATATTAGGGCATCTGGATTTGATCTTAAATTGGCCTCATAGCAGATTTGACTTCTAATTTTAACAAAATCAATTCAAAATGATTCCATGAAACTAGGATCCATAATCTTTTCCTTAAGAGAAGTGTTAGTGTCACAGCCCTCATCCATTAAAGAGCCATTGAATTAAAAAAAAAAAAGCACTCGTCAATAGAGTTTTTGTCAAATATACTGGGTTATGATATGTTATATTTGTCTTTTTGTGATTGAAGGGGTCTGTGACAGATACTATCCTGACACAAGCATGGGTCATGACCTGATCTATAACATGACTGCCATGGAGATCCATGTTCAGTACCATCTGGATCAGGTTTGAAATAGGATCAGTTGCAAGCCCTACCTACTAGGCTATATATGGTGTACAGTACTAAATTTAAGTCTTGAAAGTACAAAAAAAAAAAAGAGAAAACAAAACAAAATGTTGTCCTTGTCCTCTTTTCCCACTGTGCATGTGCAAAAATGGATATCATCATGAACAGAAAAAGACAATTCAGGATCTATGACCTAAGACTTTGGCAAAAGTTTTAATGCTGGCTGTCAACCTAACATGGAAAAATAAATAGAACTGCCACTTTCTTGTTCACCCTCTTGGTTTTTATATTATTTCATTTTCATTTTCTTTATTTCTCTAACGAATGAGTTGGTTGTTGAGTTAGGGTCTTAAAATTACAATTTCTTGGTTTGCTTGTAAAGACAAGCCCAACACAGCCTATACCACCCCTGTCAGCCAGGTTAGTAACAATTAATAAACTTGTCAATAGGATCACTCAAATAAGTGATGAACGTGCTCTCACCAAGCCACGAGTGCCTATGATCCTTACCACTCACTGGATCAAAAGTTCTGATAACAAAATGACAGTGAATATATTCTATTTTCAAGCCAATGAATAACAGATAATGGCAGAATGCTCATGACTTAATCAGAACATGTTCATTTGTATCATGGATCTTAATATTTTCCCATTCAATGCATGTCCTCCAGGTGGCGCAGGTTCCCAAGTATATCTGTTCAAATAGCTAGGCTTTTCAGATTTTAAATCACTACTTTGTCAACCTATTCACCAAAAACCAAAAATGCATTATGGAATGAATTAGAACTGAACCTTCCAAAAAGCTTCAAAAATCCTGGGGGGATTGTAGAGAAATGCTACAGCAAGCCTCTCAGGATAGTGATTCTGTAAAATGTTAGCAGAATCTCTGGCAGTTTTGATGGGAACATTGGTGTTCAATGACCATCCAGTGAAATCTATCAACCATGACATCTGTTCTTGACCCTCAGGAAGGTTAAGGATAGCATTCTCTATAAGATACACCAAATGTCGGATCTGACTATCTTGTGACGATGTGTTCTGCAAAAGAAAATTGCAAATGTTGTTATTATTCAAAGACCCAAAAAATTCCAAGCATGTGTTGAAAGATAAACCAAATACACAACCTGCATTCCTGGTCTCAATATAAGAACAGTCCTCCCTTGCCGGTCATGGAAGTTTGCTCTGTACACTTTCCCAGTCTCACCTTCATTTGCAACTTCATGCTGATCATCAAATAGATTTTATCAAGTTCAAGCTTCATAAATGAAAAATGTATAGTCATCCTATATATTCTCAAACATTGCCTTTACAATTTGGAATGATTAACCACCAATTAGAAGTACAACAAGGTAGCAAACAGGCATTTAAGCAGGGTCCTATCATTTGATGTGTACCACCAGGCTGGAGAATTTTCATAAGACAACAATAAGCTAGGTAACTGTAACTGTCCACTATGGATACCTGCCACCCTCACTTCGAACCTCCCATATTTGGCCTTTTTCTCTGTAATGGAGATCTCTTGGATGGGACAATTAATGGTTGATCCCACCCCATGGACAGATACCACTTTAGTTTCCCTTTATTTCATGATATTGGATGTAAGTTGCAACAAATAAATAATGGTGTAAAATCGGATTCACATTGGACCAATATGAAAAACTTGCTCATGACACCGAGGAGAATGATGAACAGACATTTTATCTTTAAATAGATTGTATGTCAACAAAAACTGCAAAGAGAGCCCAAATGAATAACTCATATAAATGTGTTAGCCTTTATAGTTTATGCTTATAGTGCAAAGTACCTAGTCATTGCAACTTCAGTATAAGTTATACTTTTTGCCATAATTGGCTCCTTCAAAAGAACAAGGGAATTTCTATATTTCAGTGTTGCTTTGCACATACACTTCTTGAGTTGTGTCATATAGAAAGCCTTTTAATAATAAGTATTCCTTGTGGGCATAGCTCATTTCCTGTTGTGGTTACTCAATAATTTTTACTTCAGCCAAGTCTAATGCTGTTAGAGTAACCTTAGAAGGATTCCTAGCTCTTGTTTATGCTTCCAAATTCCAAAATATTAACTACTAAGAAAGATCATTAAGATATTTCAATATAACTGGCCATTCACCTATTACATGCATCATTTCTTTGTATTTGGTTCTCCACATGAGAATTTCTAGGTCCAGCTGTACTATTTGAAAGGTTAGATAATTCAGTTGAAAAGTCTTTCAGTTGTATCAATAAAAGAATTTTTGTGGTCTTAATTCTTTCTGAAGGTTTTCCCTGCCACATGAGATAGTAGAGCAAACCATGGTTCAAAGTATCAATACTCTGGATATGGAAAAATCGCATATCCAGAGTTTCTTACCATTGTAATTCTATTTTTTTTCTACTTTTTTTAGTTTGATAAATTCACAAGTAGGTATATTAGGACGGATAGGGGTGTCCATAAAAAACCGTAAAACCGAACCGATCGGTTCAGTTTCGGTTTGGCATTTTTGAAAAACCAAAGGACCGGTTTGGTTTTTGGTTAACCTAAAAAAACGGCAATTAACCAAACCAACCGGTATATATATTTATATGTATATTATATATAAATATACATATATTATATTTATAATAATCTATTTATAAATATATTATATATTTTTAATTATTTATAAAATAATATTATACATATATTTATATGATATATATTGTAAAAATAAAAAACCAAAAAACCGAAGAACTGAATCGGTCAAAAACCAAAACCGATTTACCGGTTAACCAGTGGTACCTGTTCAGTTTCAGTTCGGAGAAATCAAAAAAATGGTAGGACCAGTTCGGTTTGAAAAAAATGTCTATGGTTTGGTTAACCAAACCGTGGGCACCCCTAAGGACGGATATTAATGTTTATACCTATTAAAAAGTTGTAACTCCCATTATTTAGTGTTTTTGTGACCCTGAAAACCAATATGTATTTATACTTTTGAAGCTTGGAACAGACTACCAATAAGATAATGAATAAGCTTAATTAATATGCCAGTTTTTACAGATTAGGTATTCAGATTTTTACATGGGGAATCAATTATATTAACAAGCACACCCACAATCATATCAAGAACTCAATGAAAAGAATCAAAGACCTGTAGCACATAAAAATTCCAAATATTTTCCTATTGATAGAAACATGTGATCTGAACAGGACTAGCTTACCCAACGGATTTCCTCGGGCTTATAATTTGACCTCCATTTCAGTGTTTCTTCCAACATTTTCTTGGATTTGTCGACATTCCAGTTCCGAGCTTCTAAATATCTCCTGAGGCATGCATCAGTACAGTACTGTAGACTACGGCCTGATATTGGTCCAATAGCAGTCCTGAGCTCATTGACCTGTTTGTAGAGTAAGGATTTTCCATTATTTAAAATTGATTACATTGATTTTTATCTTTGTTCAAATTATTGATTTTTCATTATGGAAAATATAAAATAGTTTTTTTTTTAACTTTTTTGAAGTCAAACAGTATAAAATAGGTTGAAAAGCAATTGATATAATAATCTAATTTTAACTCCTAGTAAAATCCACAGTACTGAAATGAGATGTGCCATCACTAAGAGAGCATTTTTTGCATGGCTGGTGAACCACTTGATGGACAGTCTTATGTTTATGCATTGAAAATGACATCAGTCAATGCTTAGATCAATCAAAAGATTCATGGAGCAAAATCAAGGTAATTATCATCAACAAAAAGCAATGAATCCTCCTTAAGTCAATTCGCAATTGTAATCAAATAAATCAAATAAACATGTTACACCTATCTTGTCTATGTCTAATTCTCTTATTACCTTAGCATCTTGTGAAGAATCATTCTCCTGGTGATTATGAGAGTGCTTTCTCCGAAACATGTTCACAAGTTTCCAAGCTTAAAATGCAGCCTGACATTAGACAGTAAACCTCATATTAGATCATTTAAAACAGTTCTCAAATTTCTACCAATCCAGGCAAACTGATTTGGTCATCTAAAATTAGTAAGTTAAAAAAATCTTCTAAATTGAGATTTGAGATTTTTTAGGAGCATAAGCACAGTTTAAAACACATCTGGGTATCAAATGAATAGCCTAAACCAATGAATTGCAGAGCTTTATTAAACTTCTAAGATGCTACTTCATAGAGTTCAAAAAGATCTAACTGTTGCCAAAGAAAAGTTTTAATAACTATACAAAATCAATACATATTTCTTTAATGTGTCCTCCATCTCCCAACAATTCTCTTCATTTAATTATATGCTTGTCAAAACATAAGATCCATATGATCTTCAAATCATTTTTAGTGAAAGCAAATGCCACATGGTATAGTATGTTGAAAACAAAGAGAACAAAATAAAATCCAGCTGGTAGCTGCCCATCCCCAAATAGGGCTATCCTGCAGGATCTCATTCATCACAGTAACCTGATAAGAAAAAAAATTGCCTTGATATCCTGAAATGTATATTATCACTCTCCTGGAAAAAGTTTATATGTAATATAAAGGTCCTTAAACAATAGGAGCTTATGTAATATTTTTCTTAAAGATCAGGGGATGCAGGGAAACAAAGGCATTTTGCATGCATGAGGTAAAACCCAAATTATGGGTCTTCGTCAGGTAATAAGACCCTTGCCTCTTTGTTACAGTACCTAACTTGTACCAGTCTGGCAAATTAAATTGATTTGAGACTATTACAGTTGATTATCAATTGAATGGCTTGTGGGCCTTTAATAATATTTGGCAGCATATGATTCTCAACTTTATTGAGCCATTTCATGCTTATGTTACAGAAGATGCATTTCATTTTTTTTAGCTCAAGCAAGTAATTTGATATAGAGATTTTGGTTCTTTCTTATACCAGCTATGGTGAAAAAGGTCTTATCATCTCTGAGATTTTGCTACCTGATGTTCCTTGTTTTGATCTCAAAGTATTTCATTATAATACTGTGGGAGCAGCTGAAAAATAACATGCTTACATTATTCTTACTAGAGCCAGATAGAGTGGGGAGGGAAAAAATAGAAGCTTTAGGAAAAACCAACTTGGATAATGTAGAATCTAAACACCTATCCCGTATCACAAATTACAAGTAGTTGCGCCATGCAAACAATACCATATACCTCCTTTTTTATGGCAAAAATATACTTCATGCCAAAAGCAAAATAGAAGATTGACAAAAATATGCTATCACCAGTGGCATTCAACAGAAGCACAAATTAATTTCATCAAACGGAAAGAGCTCCAAAGATGACCTCCAAATTAAGAGAAAATGTTACCCTAACAATGATACTTGATGCATTCAACTTCAACAATAGCACAATTCACAAGCAAATGAAGAAAGAAAGTGATGGCAGATTCCAGAAATTCAACAGCACCAAAGCATGTATGCAGTTATTACTGAAATTTTAAAGCATGCAGATAAAAAGGACCCTCAATGTTGGAATTAGATATTATCCTGGAAAAGCTTGGTAATCTCTTCAAATTAGCCGCATCTATGGCGTTCCATTTTCGTTCTTTCTAAAATGAAAATTCGCCATAGGCACATCCCCCAAAAGTGGGTTCAATGACACCTGGATGTCTACACATTCATCCCGTGTTGTCAGTTTTGACCAAATACTTATAGACCCAATTCGTTGTATTTTCTTGTTCTTTTTTTGGATATTTCTTATCAACCAACAAGGTCCCCTCGTTCTGAATTTTGCACATAGAGATGAAGAACGAGTAGGCAACACCATAATCTTGTCATCCTCATCGTCATAATATTCATTTATTCATATCATTCCACCGAAGGTGAAATATCTTCGTCTAATTCATCAAGAATCTCCCCGTAACGTAAAATGCACATAAAGACTAAAATCCGATCACACTTGCAAACATACATGGGGAAGGCCAGCAAGGACCTCTGCTCTAGGCGTACGACAAACTGCAGCTTGAGTCTTGGATACTGAGGTAATAACTTCGAGCTTAACCACTCAGAAAATACACTTAAACCAGAGAGAACGCCAAGTTAAGATCTTTCTAAGCACAAGTAAAACCCCCAAAAAAGCTGAAACAAAAGAATTCATCATCAACAACACCAGAAAGGGAGCCAACGCATTATGAAATTAAAATCAGTTAAGATCCACAGCAACGAAAAAGACAAAAAAGATCCACCATAGCGAAGAATCAAAGACACCTTGCAGATAGAGATCTGAATCAGGACTGAGAAAAATGTATATACATCTAAAACAAGAAGCTTTCTTCACAATTGCAAAACAAGTTATGAAAAATAACTAAAATCGCAGAGGGAAGTAACATAAATTAAAAAATGCGTTAAGAGTGATAGAAACCGTCGAAGTCTTGGGACACCTCTGTTCCTCTAAGGGAGAGAAATGAGAATGTATCTCAGCAAACATACCTGCTGAAGAAGGAGGAGAGACAGAAAGCTCTAGCTCCGTTTTTTCTCCCCTACTTTTATTTTGGGGAAGAAAAGAATTGAGATTTCTACTTGGAAGCGGAGGAGAAAAGAAAAAAGAGAGAGGCACGAGATGCGTTTTGTTCTTTCTCCTCACGAGAATTTCATTTAATTGCTTCCTTAAATAGTTAAATTCTAATCTCTCCCTCTCACTCAGCATTGAAATAAATTATTTTGTTCACACGGGACTCTCTCTCTCTCTCTCTGGGTACTAGGGATTAGGGAATACTACAGTCTACAATCTACATACAGGATTTTTTATTAAAAATAATAAATAATTTGAATAGAAATGAAGGTATACGGTAACGACCGACTACTACACAGAAGTGTCGACGACGACATCCGTTGATCAGGTGGACTAGTTTACATCCAAAATCACATGATGAGTTAATGATTTAGCCATCCGATATTTCCTCTTTGGAAGATTGCCATTTGTTTCCGACGTGGCGTTTTTGTACAGGGCCCATTACCACTTGATGGGTCCCAAATGAACTGATTCCTGAAGTCGATACGGCAGTTTTTCCAGTTAGGATTCTTAATTCTTTGTCAAAAGCCGTCCGTGGGCCCTTTGATCTAGAATCCTCCCCCTACATGAAAACAGAATTGGGCCCCCATTTAATTGCGGGCCCCCAATGTTCCTCTACGCAAGCCAAGCCAGGTATCCGATAATACAGGTATTTATTTGTGACTACAAATGCTACTTGTGTGACATTTGCATTTAATTCCCATTTCACTCCTATTGGAGTGCACAGCTTTCTACTTTAATAATTTAATTAACTTTCCCTTGTTAGAAGGTGGACCACATTTATTTTCGCTCAGCTTGGGAGGAGTATAAATATATACAAAATACAAAGTTTTATTTATATTTGTATTCCTTCTAAACTGAGCTTACTCCTCTCAAACAAACAAACAAAATAGAGTAAAACCCAAAACAAATGTAAACCAAAATTTGCACTCAACTAATCAAATGCAACCAATGCAAATAAAATTAGCACCACCAATAAATGGAGTCCAATACTGATAAACAAACTGAAGTATAGTACTGTAGTAAATCATTGAACTTGGAACAAATAAACGAAACATGTTTAACGAAAAGAAAAGTAAAAAAAAAAAATGTTTCTTTTCCTTTTTATAGTATGGAATAACTGAACAGTAAAATGAAAAACACAAAATAAAACAGAAAAGTCAACAATGAAAGGGGCTTTGCTTCCACGTACATTTTGACTTTTTTACTTCTTAAGTGTTTTTCCAAAAGAGAAAAAGTCTTTGTGACCTTTCCAGATTGTAATTGAGAGTTGTCTACATACTACGGCTACGGCTAGTGTACAGATAGAAACCAAGGCAAGCCCCTGTGGATTGTCCAACCGTAGATTGTTTCAAGTGATGTTTCTCTGTAAATTCTGATATTAGAAATAGGGTTGAGGTGCCCAACGTTAATTCACCGTCGGATTGGAATTTGAAAAGATCCATGTGGAAAGGTTAGTACTTCTAGAATTGGACCTCAACTCACCGCGTACCTAAAGTGCAGGTGAGTTGAGGTCGCAGCTTTGTACTTCTAGTACCCAGAAATGGACAACAGGTGAATCAATCATGGTCGTTGGATCTGTATTCTAGAATTGGACATTGAAGATCCGTCAGTTTGGGACACAGGAACCAAACCATTAATTAGTCTCTCTCTAGTCTCTACCTTGACGTAGACCCACTAGCCAATCCACCTCGAAAGGCGTGGATATTTGTTTTGGAGGGATATTCATATATATTGTGAAACAATGACGTCAGACACACTCTTAAGTCTTAACCAACATTTTATGGCCTCCGATGTTGAAGCTGAACGTCGTGCCGTCGTGGAATTATCAAACTCAACAATCCTGAGCTGGGATGGTTCTCAGATCTCACCTCTCACCATCAAACACGTCATGAATGACGACGGAGCAAGTCAAAGCCCTCAAACTTTTCTTTTTCATAGACAAGATATATAATTAAGGTTCCACCGTGATTATGATACCTGAGAAATTTATAACCAATAAACCGTTATCATCATAAAAGTGGTAATCAATCAATTGCTATTCTGGACTTACCCTATTTAATCATATACGTATATTTAATTAAGGAGGTATTTGGCATCGATGTCTTTTGTTTCATAGATGTTTTTTGAAAGAAAAAACGTGTTGCATGCATTAGGGTTGTTGCACTGTTTTTTTAGAAAGCGGCTTTTTTTTTTTTTTTGTTTAGTATCCATGTTGTTACATAGGCTATCTTTTTGAGAAAACAGGCATTGGTTTTATTTCGTACTAGTATCATATAACTGTTTTTAGCATATATGTACTAGTATCATATAATGTAATGCACAATGCCTAAGATGATGCCACGTCATTGCACTGTAGGCAGTACTAGGCTGTTTTTTTAAGAAAACATTAAACTTGACATTTCTTCATATCACACTTTTTCGATTTCTAAAACATAATTTGGAGTAATATTTTTTTAAAAAAAATAATGCCAAATAAGAGCATTTTCTAAAGCACCACTTTTTTCTGACATGACACCAATGTGGCCAAACACTGCCTAAGTAATTTTCTATTGATAGATCATATTGAGTCTTCATATTTTATTGGAGTTGGGAAGGATCGGATCTGGTCACAAGAATGTTCCAACAAGTCATTAGCCATATATATCAGAAACATTTCGGTCTCGTCATGAAGAGGATAAGGGAGATATTTTCAATATCTCACCTTCCTTCTTTCTACTTATTTGGTGATTCATGCTCATCGTTTTGCAAATAAAACAGCTCATAAAATTGCAAAAGTTTTCATTACTTGCTTGTCTGCTGCTTTTGATTTTTTAATTCCTATTATTTAAAAGGAGATGTACGTAATTGGCTTCCAAAAGGGAAAAGTCTTGTATTCATCAAAATTCACAGGCTTTTGATTATCAATTAGGGTTGAATTATCTCCAAATTCGGAGTTGAATATTTGGGAGTCTCCCGCATAAGAACTAAAAATGGATTTCGATGTCTCTGTTGTGCGAGTAAGAGGATGCTATTGTGCAGAGGACAAAAATGTAAATGGGAGTTAGAAGACTTATCGGCTGAGGCGTGTTTATAATGCTGTCCTTAAGCAGAATTTTTGCCTCCTCTGGATTATGTTAGGTGCAGTATAGGAAGTTCGGCATTCTACTCTAGGATTCAATACTCAATAACCGTGCACTCAGAATATTGAGCATCACGAACTGTAGCAATCTCTCAACTCGGTAATGAAATGCATTATGCAGAGAATGAATGAATGTAGAGAGTGAAACATGCATGGTGGTATAAATAGAGTTTCTAGTGTAAGAAAGAGAGGTGGCGACTCTTTTGAGTTCTGAGAGATGCCATTATTAAAGGTTACGACAAAGGAGTGCTAATTCAACCGAAAGATACTTTGTTTAGAAAGAAAAGAAAATGAGCAGTCACCTGTTTGAATTCGAAAATAAAAAAATAAAATAAAATGAAAAATCACAATTGCTCGAATTCAAAAATTATAGTCATAAAAAATAGGCAGGTAAACCACACCCACACGTTCACACCCCAACCCAGCCCATGCGTGAAAGAGAATCCCCAACCACCCACTAAGCCATGAGAGACCATATGTATATGCACCCATTCAGGTCCCCATAAAGGAAAGGCCATCTCCTAGTAATAAACTCAACACTTTAATTTTTCCATGTAGGATTCAAGCAAACTAGGAGATGAATTAACTTATGGGCCTAGACCCAAAACTAATGGGCCTAGAAATACAATAGTCTAATGGGCCTAGACCCAAAACTATGGAAGAATACTCAGGTTAGAAAGCAGAAAACGCATTTATCCAAATAACCACTACTGGAACCAAGAGATTTTGAATTAACTTATTTGGGGACAAGGATGTTCACGATATCTTAGCTACACATTTTTAATGAGTGGGTAGATTTGTTTGGACCGGGAATTCTAAAGGCATTTTCTTTATAAAAGATTTTTACATGGCACTCTGCTGGGAGTAGACCTGTTCATGGGCTGGGCTTTGGGCCCAATTTTATACTATCTCAGGTTCGGACTTTGGGTCGGGCCCATTAGAATTTTGACAAAAGCCAAGCCCAAGCCTGACCCATGAACAAGTCTAGTTGGAAGTAGGAAAATAAGAATCTGTGCCCCTCATTAGTCATTCCTTGTCCTTTTGAAGAAAACTTGGAAATTTAGAATTCTTTGGAGGTTTAAACTTTTCCTATGGAGGTTTGCTAGGGGCTTTATTGTTGCTAGGAGCAAACTAACCCATTTGGTTTATAGTTGGAATTGGAATCGGAACCCGTTGTCTGTTTGGTTCAGACAAGAATGGAAATGAAAATTGGAATCAGTAGGAATGAGATTTCATTCCCAGTGGAGGGGGAGGGAATGCCGTTCCACCAAGAATGGGAATAAGATTCCAATTCCGCCCAACCAAACAGTTAGAATTGGAATAATCCATTACAATTCCAATTCCAGACCCTTATTCCTGCAAACCAAACAGACCCTTAGTTATCTTCTTGGCAATGGCTGGCTATAATGTGGTATTTTGTTTGGCAATCCAGGAATGATTATTTTTTTCAAATAAAAATAGATTTTGTGGTTGGGTCCTACGGTATAGATATATTAATCGATTTTTTGAATGTTTCTCAACAAATTCATACACGTCTAGTTGAGTCCAATGTTTCAATTGGTAGAAATATGAATGGTTTTGAAACAAATTGTATGGTTATCATTTGTGATGGTGGTGTTGATAAGGTTAAGTTTGGAAGGAGTACAAATGCAAATTTGTAGTGTGTAAAACCTTGTATTTTGTATTATTTTGATTGTATTTGCACTCTACCAATTTGCATTTGTACTTCTTCCAAACTGAGCCTAAATATTTATATGCAACCTTTGGTGTTTGTGCCTTCAGTCATGAATTTTGTTTTTTTCGGCAACAGATAGGGATGACAATTTTCCCTATCCCCGACTAGGACCCGACTTTCCTGACCTTATGGAGTCGGGGATGGGGAGTGAGGTCCCTGCCCCGACCCCAATTATATATATATATATATATATATATATATATCAAAATATATTTA